CGCCCCGGCGACGTTCAATCGCCTGGTGACGCAATTGTTCCGCCCTTTGCGTACCTTCGTACAGACGTACTTCGACGACATATTCGTCCATAGCCGTGCCGAGGGAGGCAAGACGGCCATGGAGGTGCATCTAGGCCACCTCCGTCGAGTGTTGGACGTGATGCGAGAGAACAAGCTCTACGCCAACATCGACAAGTGCGTTTTCGCGTCACCAGAGATCAAAGTTCTCGGTTGCTTCGTAAGCAACGTGGGCGTTCGGGCTGACCCAGACAAGGTCAAGGCCATAGCAGCATGGCCGACGCCCCGATCCCAGAAGGATCTTCAAAAGTGGTTGGGCTTGGCCAACTACCTTCACAAGTACAGCGCAGGGTACGCGGGCTTCGCTAAGCCCCTGTCGAGCCTCCTTCAGAAGGACGTCGACTGGCGCTGGGAGCAAGAGCACCAGGGTGCTTTTGACAGCCTCAAGGCCAGTCTCCAAGAGGCCCCTGTCCTGGCCCTGCCGGACGAGACGAAGCCGTTTAGCGTCGTCTGCGATGCCTCCGATTACGCCATCGGATGTGCATTGCTGCAGGACGACACGGCTGGACAGGAACGAGTCATCTCATTCCAGTCCAGGCAGCTCAAAGCCGCCGAGCGGAACTACCCTGTCCATGACAAGGAGCTCCTGGCAATGAAATATGCCCTTGTGAAGTTCCGTGTTCACCTTCTGGGCTCTAGGCCCTTTGTGATCTACACAGACCACGCGTCCTAGAGGACGGCGACTAACTCGCCTCACCTCTCCCAAAGGATGGCGAGGTGGCTGTCCTTCTTTGCGGAATACAACCTCCGCGTCGAATACAAGCCGGGCAAGCTCAACGTGCTTGCGGACGCCCTCTCTCGGTGTCCCGACTATGAGCTGGCCCACATCACGCGGGTGACAACGGATCTATATGATCGGATACGCATGGCGTATCGGGACGATGAGGCTGTCGCGCCTCTCGTCAAGTTCCTTAAGGCCGGAACGAGCGCGAAGTCCGACTGGCTCTCGCCGCAACAGCGCTCACGGTCAATTAGCCATGGAGGCAGTTTGCTCAGTGTTAGCG